CCTTCCTTCCTCCCTTCCTTCCTTCCTTCCTTCCTTCCTTCCTTCCTTCCACTAGTCAAGTGAATCAGTGGGAGTGGAGAAGGAACAAAGAAATCCGTAACTGGCTGTGATCAATTAATTGTAAACACCACTGCGCTTGGACCAGCCTGGAAAATCCATTTCATTAAACTTAGTTTTTAAAACTGTAAACTGAGTGTATTAGACATAATTCAGTAGTATCGTGGAAATTAAATGAAATGATGGAAGTAAAATGCTTGTCATGGTGCTCTTGAATGTTAGGCATCCTTTTTGTGAACCTGTTGGATGACAATATTCATTCATGTTTAGGTCATGTCTACTAGGCCAGTGTAAGTGGAAAGAACTTGGCAATGAAGACAAACACACCTGGGTCCAGAGTAGTGCACAAGTACACTGATTGTCTTTGAGGAGATATTTCCCATCCCTAGAATAGCAATAGCAACCTGTTGTTCTTGCATGTAGGAGGTGCAACCATACATGTTTAACTTCCTTCTGCCATCCCTAGCAGGTGCTTAGCATATGGCAAGTGAATTTTTTTTTTTTAAATTAGGGATATAAATTAAAATTGGAAGAGTTTTCTGCCCTTTTGGTCATAAGTGGGGAGGGGAGAGTTGGAGAGGGTGAAGAAGAATAAGACACCATAAAACAACTAGCTGCACATTGTTGGAAGGTATGGACCAAGGGTGATAAAGAAATGCTCGTTTAATGGGACGCCTGGCTGGCTCAGTTAGGGGAACATATGACTCTTGATCTCAGGGTTGTGAGTTGGAACCCTACATTGGGTAGAGATTACTTAAATAAAAGCATAAATATATATTTTTTAAGAGAAAAAAATATATATTAAGAGAAATGTTCATTTGTTAACTCTTTGTTTTTCAGTGATTGTACCAAAAATTAACTTTAACTTCCCATTTAAACCTGTCAGCGTCTCCAGAGCCCTCTGGCTAAGCATTTACTCCCAAGTAAAGGCTAATGGCTAGTGATTCAATTCAGCATAGAGACAATGCATACTTTCAACTCCTGAGGACCTACCATATAGGAATTCAGGTCTCCCTATTCCTGCTGTGAAATATACCTGCACAAAGTATCAAACTACATTTTCAATGTAAAGAATGAGAATAGAACCCACACACTCAAGTACCCATCACCTAGCTGAAGAACTGGAGCATCCCCAGGACCTTGGAGCCCCCCAGTAACTCTCCCCATGGCATTCCAGCCCTCCTTCTTCCTGCAAGGAACCATTGGTTGGACTTGTGTTAATTTTTTTTCCTTGCTTTCACACATCATATGCTACATAAATAGCTCTGTGAAAGGGAAGTTTCCAAACAAGCATTTCCACAATAACCTGGAGCATTCTTATTGAACTTAAAAGCAGGATATTGAGAGTAGGATGCAAACCACAAAAAAGCTGACAGTCTCAAAGTACTGGGGTGAGGCAGTCTGTCTTTCCAAGGTTTTCCCCAGGTTTCCTTGGCACAGGCTCTGCGGGTGTGTTCTGTCTGTACAAGGGAAGCCCAGTCTCTTCCAACATAGCTTGGAGGCTATAATTTTTAAAAGCTTTGCTTGAGTCCCTAAGAATGAGAAAAACAGTAATTTGTGTGCATGTGTTTGAACTTTTTTTTAAAATACAAATTATCCAGGGGAACATTGTGTGGGATTTGAAGGATCAAGCCGACAGAGAGAGCAACCTTTAAAAATGGTTTTAATCCAAATTCTTCTTTTCCTGGTTATTATGTTTGTGTTTTGGACTTTGTTTTAAGTTACTTTTGCAGGGTCACACAGCTCTCCCGGAGAATCTTGCACAACTCCATCACTTCTTGATTAAGGCAAAAGATTCCTAAGCTTGGTTCATGGCTCCCTTAGTATCTTTGTAATTTTTTCACAGCGCCCCTAATTTTAAGTAGTTCACCATAGTTAGGTTCAAACAACTTACTAAGTATTTATGTCCTAACAACATAGAAGTTATTTTTAGAAAAATAGTACACATAAACTGAGAGAAAAAAATATTGTTATATCATTCTTAAATAACTCCAATTACAAGCAGGATGTGTGTGCCTGTACTAATTCCTAAATCTTGGGATTAAATTGGATACCACCACTCTCATTTCCTGTTCCACATTAATTTTTCTGTAGCACTTGCTTTTTATCACAGCATTCACTGAAAACCCAGGTTTTGCAAAGATGTGTATGATGTCATTGATAGGCGTGTAATGTGATCTAACATTAAAACTGAATTCTGGTTTGTAATTCAGCATTTTCCAACGTGTTGACTACACTGTGTTTCCCTCAAAACTTTGAAATAACCTAAGTTGCCCTTGTGAATTTGCTGCAGTATCCAGAGTGCCTTGGTGCTCAGTTTGGGCATTTTTGGTCTAAGGTAAAACCCTCTTCTGGGGAGAGAGCAGTTATTAAAGAAGGGGTCTGTCTGCCTGAAGTAGCCCCAGGTTAAGCTACTGTGCGGAGTGGGCTAAATCTTGGTTTCTCCTCTACATAAAATGGAATGGTGAAAGCCTGCCTCGGAGGGTCACTGAGAGGATTAAACTAGATAATGTACATAAAAGCATCTCTAAAGGGCCTGGAATATAACAGAGTCTCAAGAAATGATAGCTCTTTTATGATTGTTAAATAGTACTAAATAGTCCAGTAATAGGTAAATATATCATAGTCCCTATTTAAGAAGAGCCAGTATAAAAAAAAAAAAACCTCAGTGCTTAAAATCTCAATCTTAGCAAATAAATTATGAAGTAGTTGGTTCACAATATAAAATGATTTATCATTTTTCAAACAGCAAACTCTGGTGTGCCATTGTGATACATTTTGACTTTGCAGACCCATCTCTGGAATGTTCATTTTCATTTGCCAGCCTGTGTCCAGGTTTGAGGAGGAAGTCATAACTGATTGGAGGGAGAAGTCCTGAACTTGGACAAGTAGATTTCTGATTTCAGGAGGGAAGTACTTTGTCTTAGGTCTCGGGAAATTTGGACATGGCTTTGTAGGGGCCCAGGGCAGTCTGCCCCAAAATGTGCCTCTTTGGCATAAAGATTATTTCGAGTTAAGAGTAACAGAAATCCAGCAGATGCAGCAAAGGTGCTCTGCCTCCCCATAACTGCCTAAATTTACATTGGAAAGGAGAGACTGCAACAGGAAGAGAAGTACTAACAGAGGCCCGCTTTAGGAACTCATCTACATAATAGAACATCTTGTTTTTCCAAACATCTCCTTTCATCTTCTGGCTGATGAATTTTCTTCTCTGTGTCCTCAGGCCCCTACTTTTTTCCTTAGCTCACGTAAGCTTCAAATTGCCTCATTGTCTTTGGAATCTCTTGTCTGTGTGGATTCCCCCTAAATATGCCTATTAAATTTGATCTTCTCCTGTTAACCTGTCTTTTGTCAATTTGATTCTAAGTCCAGCTAGAAGGACCACAGGGCAGAGGAAGGTCTTCCTCCCGGATTGGTTACAAACCTGCAAATGTTTCAAGTAGGGTTTAAATTTTGCATCTGCTGGGCGCCTGGGTGGCTCAGATGGTTAAGCATCTGGCTTTGGCTCAGGTCATGATCCCAGGGTCCTGGGATCGAGTCCTGCATCGGGCTCCCTGCTCCTTGGGAGCCTGCTTCTCCCTCTGCCTCTCTCTCTCTTTGTCTGTCATGAATAAATAAATAAAATCTTTAAAAAAAATAAATAAATTTTGCATCTGCTTACAGCATAGAGAGGCAGACAATCTTTTCAGATGAAATAATTTTATTAAACTTATTAGCATCACATGATAATTCCCGTCAATAAGTGGTACTTACTAATCCTCCAAGGAAAGGCTGATTTGAATAAAGATGTCATACATGGCTCTCATGGTGTCTTTTAGGAAACAGAGACCTTTACTCCCTTGTCCT